GAGAGAGAGAGAGAGAGAGAGAGAGAGAGAGAGAGAGAGAGAGAGAGCGTAAGATAGATGCAGTGAGATATGAAAGTCAAATAGAAAAAAAATGAATTGATGTGGTTTCCATCACGACATGCGATAACAATGCGATTGATAGATGGAACGTGATTTTGAATGTTGTTGGCTGTTTGGTTTTGGCACTTTCCGGTTCAAATAACACAAACATACACATTTATATGAACACAATATATAGGTATAAATGTATCGTTTCGCACATGTTGACCACAACGGAAATATGACCTGATTTTTTATGTTGTACGATTCTATAAATTGGCTTCGTCTAAGCTGTTTCTATTGCTAAAGAATTGTTTCTATTGCTTTCTCTCTTTCTTGTGCTGGTTTTCTTCTTCTCATTTACTCTTACTGTCGGCTTTCCTTGACGAAAGGATCATTTTTCAATTCGAAACATTCCGCAATCACAGTGCCAATTGTTGCTTGCTAAGTGAAAAAAAAGTATCCAAATTCGATGTGCATTGAAGGAATTTTCAAATTTTGGCGTTCGAGTTACGGCCAAAGGTTATTTTTATTGCTCGGCCATGACTAGAAAAATGCCCCCATCATTGAATGTGCTGACTTACAAAATAGAAGAAAAGTGACCGCCAAACACATATGACACTCATGACACACTGTATCATTTGCAAACGACAAGATTCGAACTTGTTTCTTTTTTGCAATGGGCGTCGGTTTTTTTCTATTGCGTTCATCGATTGTTGAATATATCTTTCAATCTGTTCGACTGAGAAACTAGCATTTGCCGCATCGCAAGTCTGAGTTATCAGTTTGTTTCATTTCTTTTTTTCATTGGTTATTTTGCAAAGTCTATCCAATAAATGCATACGTTTTCTATCCTCATGAATATGAACGTGGAGCTGCTTTCTACCATCTTCAAATGCATACGAAATCATCATTTCTTCTGCTTCTTCGATTTCGTTCCGACTTCCGTTCACCATTTCCATGAAACATGCATTTTTTTGTGTTGTTCATCGGTCGACGGTGCATATGTGTGATTTTTATTTTCCTTTGCCGGTATCGTTCATTATGGTCTCGGATGCATAGTGTCTGACGTTTTTTCTCTCAGCTATTCAACATTGCTCACTCATGGCTATTGCTTCTCAACAAAATAAAAAACGTTTTCGGTTTATTTTTGGTTGGGACAAATTGTTTGTTTATGTTTCACAAATGTAAATTTTTAACTAAACCCAAGCAAAAATGAATGTGCCACAAGTTTGAACTTCGAAGTGAATTGAGCGCATTTTAAGCTCCTGTTCGATAGGAAAGTGTTATAATAAACTTTTCCATCCAAAAGCGGGCACACAATGTACAAAGAATCAGAAATGTATCTGAAAAAAATGTAAAGCATATTCGGCAAAAGACTCCTGACAAAAACGTTCATGTTTGTTGAAAAGGCAACGGATGTCAAGTGAATGGAATAAATGATATTGGCGTTTGGTAAATTGAACGAGATATTCGATATGCGTGTTGGATGCAATTTCACTTGACGCATTTGTGTGCATTTTTTCGGCTTTTAATTTATAAATTCTCTATGCATTCAATAACAATTTATTTGTTTTGTATTTTTACAGGAAATTGCTGCGTTATTAATCAGTTTCGATAAGCATTCCGAATGGCAATCAAAAGAAGTGCGAACAAGGTGAGTTTTCTTTTTAAATAACAACTATTAAAGATTAATGATTCTCAATCAGAATTTTAATGGCATCACATCGTTTTAAATGATCTAAAAATGTGAATTTATGATTTGAAATTAAACCAGCACTTTGTTCTGTGGACAAATAAGTTAAACGAATTTTCTGATTATAAAAGATGTGCTTACGAATGTTTTGGGACGAGTGCAAATTATTTGTTTAGCTGCTCGAAATGAGACCTGAAAACGAATGACTTGTCATTATTTTCGAAACGATGCACGAAATACAGGAAAAATATTTAAAGAAAAAAACATGGTCGCTGAATCGTTATTACAATCGCATCGATTGAATGAATTCACAAACAACGGCCTAAACTACACAAAAACACAGCCGGTACTAAGCAAAGAAAACAAAAAATGAAAACACAATATAAAAAAAAATTGCGCTCAACCAAATTCGATACAGTGCAATGTGCGCTCACGCGCGCATGCATATTTCAAAATCGAAAAATAGTCGAAACAAATGACCTCACGTTTCGGTCATAAATTGACTAAAAAAATTATAAGATGTCACACGCGCACTCTTCATCCCTCTTCTTCTGTATCTTTCATTCGCATTAAGTCGAAACAATAAGAATGGGTCGCGCATCGAAATATCAAGAGAAAAAAGCACATACACACACACGTTAGTGGCATCGAAGCAAAACAAATGGTTGAAAACTGTTTCGGCAGCATATATAAATGTAAAATTCACCTCACAAAAGGAGTGTCGATCGGGACACTTTATTCAACTTAGTAGTTGTCTCACTCATCTACTCACTCCAGCCAATTCAAATTGCCTTCCCATTCGAGCGGTCACGACTGCTGATTTACGTACTGTTTCGTTGCAATCGATTTGGAAAATCAAAAACATCCCAACATGAAATCTAACTTACATTACAAAATTGCCTGCCGCTCGGTGAGCAAAATTAATGGATCAAATGTGCCGAATTTTGTTTATTTGGAATTATGCATTTTTGAATTTTGACACTTTTAATACTTCAAGTATGTTGGAAGTGGCCGTGAATGTCATTAAATCAACAAAAAAAGGCACAAAAATATATAGTGGTACAATTGTGCAGTTCGGTGTTTACGATTTTTTTCGTCTTCAGTTTCAAAACAAGATTACACTATCGTTTCAATTCAACTAAGTAAGTTGAACATGTGGATGATGTTGTAATCCGTTGATTTCTCATTGCCTTAAATTTTTAATGCCATAATAAAATAGCGAAGAAAAAATGACGTGATTAAAAACGAAACAAGACAAATTGTCAATTCACAGAGACTGAACTAGCAAAACTGAAGCAAAATCAACGCGCGTTCGCCCTGGTTTTGAATTCCGTCTTGCTAAGCGAAGAAAATTAGCTATAAATTTGGCATGGATTGCAATCTGTCGTCATTTTCGATTTATTCAGGTAGAAAAAGACAGCGGCGCGAATTTTACTCGATCAATCGTGACGCGCGCGCACACACAAAATTCAACGAACGACCATAAAGTTCAAAACGAAAAACTACCTACCTACGCAAATAAGGCAATCACACGTTGAATGAAAACAAAAGAATTTCCTTTTTATCGAATTTGTAAATAATTTGTTGTTTGCAATACTTTTCGGGTTCGCAGTTGCCCGTCATCATTCGCATTCATTTCGTTTTGCTGCTCTGCACTCTTTGCTCCCCATCTCTTCCGTTTTTCTACATCTCTCTCTCAGTCATTTTCAATATCACATAGCGCTTTATGACAAAATACGGTGTACGCGAGCTGAAATGCACATTCATGTTTTGAGTTATATTTGTTCCGTGCACACGACAGACAACAGCAAATAAAACGAAATTCAGTCGAAAATCAAAGGAGCAACCAAGCAGAGCGAGAGATGGTGAGCGAGAAACCGTGTGCTCGACGATATGCCATACGTTGCCTCCGAACACAATAAGATCGTAAAATGCACTCGGCTGCATAGTTTTGTGTATTTTTTATTGACATTTTTCCCATAAAGATTATGGATATAAATAAAGTTAGTGTGCGCATTTTTGAAAGAGCGCCTTTCGTCGATTACACTTTATTTTCGCTTTAAGTTGCCATTTTCTTTCTTCGTTTGGATTTTATTTCAGTCGCTCGTTTACTTTGTGCTGTCGGTAAGTTGATATTTTGTACAACTGTACGATTCTTCAATACTTCATAAATGTTTGCTTTTGACGTGTGCAACTTATATAGAATACCAGAGTGAGAGCGATAGAGGTAAACAAACCGCCGAACTCTGAACACACAACCACTTTTTTCCTCGTTGAGAAAATGTCTTTGTCTCTCATATTTCAAACAGCTTACACAATGACATGTTGTTGAACAACAATAACAACTTGTCATCTCAAATAATATTTAATTCGTATTGCTCGACAATAAATGTCAATTATATGTTCTTCTCTCCGTCGTTTGTGTGTGTGTGTGTGTTTGCGATGGTGTTGTGACGATATAAAATTTCATCGTATTCAATGTCACCGTATTACTTGTGATATGCTGTTAATCTAGCTGGTTTTGCCTTCATATATTTTCCGCGCCTGTAAAACTTGCCTTTTTTTTGTGGATGGGCGACTTAAGTTTATGTGGTATGAGCTAGCTCTGATATCAACGTTGAAAATAAAGCATATTTTATGCGATCGTAAACGAATGTGAATGGTTATGATTCCGGATTGTTGTTCGACACACGGTTTAAGAGAATGAGAGAGAAAAGCATTTCATTCGCATCTTTCGACCAGAAAATAATAAATGAATTTTCATATTCGGTCAAGTTGCTGCGTGTTGAAACCAGTTTATTAGCCAAACTAATCGAATTAAGAGGTTGAACCCCGGTATTTATTCGGGCCAGTTATGTGTGTTCCTTTCCTCTCCAATCATTTTGATTATGAATATGGTTAAGTTCATCAAGAATTGTCGGTCGTTTTTCCAACTTCAATCTATCGTGCACAAAATAAAAGAAAATGACCGATTGCTGTACTCTTTCCCTCTCTCTCGCATCCTTTATTTCACGTTTGAGTCTTTTGTTCCGAGTGATTTTCATCAGTTGCCGATTCGGTTTTATGTCACTTTGTTTCCGTTTTTGGTGTAAGTTTTCAAAACTGGCTTTTGTCGGCAAATACAATGTATGTCTCTTTCGCCGTCGATGAGAAAGCCGTAAAGATGAAAACACTTTGGATAAATGATGTGTGAAGTTGAGCCGTTGTTCAGTTGAGTTGTTTTCATTTGATGTGTTTGTGTGCAAGCGCTACGCCGTTCAGTCAGTTCCCAGCTAGATTTATTCATACTATACACTTTGAACTCTCTCTCTCTCTCTCTCTCTCTCTCTCGGGTTCTTTTCCTATACTACTCCAAATCCTGTCACTTTCAACATAACTACTCATGATTTTATGATAAATTACCGTGTTTATCATCACTTGAGCGACGAGAGAGGCCGGTGGATCGCACACATGATGTGTATATGTGTATGTGATATGATACGATTTGATTTGGCGACATTTACTTTGACTACGATGATTTAGTGGCCAAAGTTTTCCGTAATAATTCCGTCTGTCTGATGGTAATAATGATTATCGCGCCATCAACGAAATGTTTGTGTAAAAGTTGCAAGCATTCATCCTTTCTCTGTCTACTATTCATCAGCACGTGCATCAACCATTTGAATCATCAAATCGATGTAGTATACTCATGGCCTGGAAATGCCTATGTAATTTACATATAAACGAGTGAGACTCAAACATGTTCTTCTTTTTCCATCAAATATACCAGTGGCGCCACCAATTTTACATATAAGCGCATACAAAATTTTCAATATGGCTGCGCCCATGAGAGAGAAAATTTCGTCTCATTCATTTCCGCCCCATGAGTAACTACATATATGCTCATCTTCTTGGCGTTGGCCCATTGAAGTGGTAATAATCGAATTGAAGCAATCAGCAGTATAGGCATTTCGTTTGATTCACACAGGAAAATTGTTAAAAATCGCATCATCGTTTCGATTTTAAAGTCGAAATTCAATTATTTTTTTTTTGTGATTTAAATTCCCGGAAACTTTAAAGATTTTTAAATTCAATATTCATGAAAAAAAAAATTATATCGAATTCTCTCTTTTTTACAGGCCAAAAAGTGGTTCAATGTTACTCTATTCGCGCAAAAAAGTTCGCTACCGTCGTGACGGCTACTGCTGGAAAAAGCGAAAGGATGGCAAAACAACACGAGAAGATCACATGAAATTGAAAGTTCAAGGAACAGAAGTGAGTTACAACAAACATATTTATTTTCTTTTTCCTACAACACCATTTATTATTTTATGCATTAGTATATTCTGTGAATGATTTATATGCATCGATTGATTGAGATTGGAGAAATCAAAAATAAGATGAACAAAAAAAACCACGACGCAAGGAGTATTTATTCATCCGATTCGATTCGCGATTTAGATGAAAAGCAGTGCTTTTATGTAAAAGAGAAATAGAAGCAGTGACGAAGAATCATCTAATTCGATTAGATGATCCGATGCCACAAAAACCCAAATATTTGAGCGAGCCAACAATTTTATTGTGTGTACACATACGCAAAAAAAAAAACTGAAATGAAAAAAGCAAGAAGGAACGGGCCAATACCATTCAACTCGATCGAATGCATATGATAAGAGAACCGAAGGAGACGAGCTCCATCCTCAGCATGAAATTGAGAAAGATAGAGTGCGCCAAATAAATAACGATACAAAAATACAAATGAATTCGTTAAAATCGTTAAAGATTTCATCGAAGCAGCAGCCAAAAGATTTATCGGATTGCGTGACAAAATTCAAGATTTCGTTTCGCGCAGCCAGTGAATAAATTCCCAGCTCTCTTCGCTGGATCATCTCATGTGTGTATGTGTGTGTGTGTTTCATTTCGCCGCGAGAGCGCTACGGTGCGCGTTCAACACCACCAACAAGCAAAATGAAATATGTTTGTGGCGAGACGCTTACAACACAAAGATGACATCGAGATAGAAGTTTTTTGGTTTGTTTGCCGGGTTTTGCTCTCATGCAAAGAGAAAGGAGAAGAAGAAGAAAACAATTCGCATGGAATTTTTTTTCCTTTCCGTACGCATATATGCACAAAAGCACACACACGATTTGTTACTCATAAATCAGTAACATTTCGCGTTCGGGCCGTCTTTTTATTTTCATTGCCGTCGTCTGAGGCGATAGTGTAATTCATATGTGCTTTTTTAACACTTGCCCTCTCACTTAATAATAAAAGGAAACGAATAGCAAAAACAATCGAAACGCTCATTCTTTTGCTGATGTCACGTGAAGTGGTGCGCCCCGATTAATCGAATTGTGTTTGAAATATGCTAAAACCAAAATCAAATCTTTTCTTTCCTCTCCCATATCGATATTGTTGTTTTTCTTCTGCTTTTGGCGAAGTAGCAATGAGAAAAACTATGAGAAAATTTCATCTTTCAATCTCTTCATTTTATGGAGAAAAATTACATTAAGATTCGATGTGTGTTATTATCTCTCCAAGTATTTCTTTGTTCGTATGCATGATATGTATTTTGCGTGGTTTAAAAAATATGCAATCGATTATGTGTGGCATGGGCAAAGCATCGGGAGAGAGAGATAGAGAAATGAAAACCTAGGGGCTTTTATCTTCAAATGTATACGATTTATACTGTAAATAGTGAACTATATTGCAAAATCATCTGTAATACGCGTAAATAAATGTGCATAACTGCATATATTTGGTGTATATTTCGTGTATATTTCGTGTATATTTCGTCTATGGCATGTTTTTTCATTCTCTTTTGTGCGGATCTTCTTCGATTCTGTGTAGCTATACTGTGTGTGTGTGTGTGTGTACACTGCAGTTTAAAATACACCTTATTCACTGGTATAGGCGAGAAATTTTAATCGCATATATGATGAATAGGACGTGAATATTGTGTATAAATTTGTATGAACGAATGATGAAAGCCCCTAGATGAAAACAAACTGATTCGTTGGCGGCACCGCAGATTCCCTTTTTTTTCTTACAAACATTTCCATTTAAATTCAAAAGAAAACATATTCGTTCGGTACATATTTTTATCTTAAATAAATTCACATCTCCAAATCGTTGTTTGCTTTCGACTCAAGTTGAATGCCATAAGTAATGCGATAAAAAAACCGAATAGAAATCTTTTGTATCTTCATGGATTTTTTTTTGTTGTTTTCGTTAATAATCTATCGTCATTTTCCGGCTCACAGGAGAGTTAAAATGTCTACAAATTCGCTGATTTGTTTGCACAATGTCAACCGTTGTTGAAAGCATTCGTATACATTTTAATCGATGATTGCCTGCTTTTAATTAAATGTTTCACCATTTTAAATGCGTTTGTTGAATTTGATGGATAAATCGCATTTAGGATGTGTCGGTCGGTCGATGGTGCGTGGAATCAAAGCGACAATTCAAAATGATGTGCGATGCCGTCACTTGCCTATGTGTGGATGTTGAGCAGTCGATTCAAAAGAAGAAGAAGAAAAAAAGTGACGACTAACGCGAATCTTTTATTCTTGGATTAAATCTTGATCTTTAAAAATTGGTCGACATTCATTTCTGCCAAAAAATGTTTGCTCGACAACAGATTGGTGTGTGTGTGTGTGTGTTTTTATTCGTTCATAGACAGAATCGCATATTGCATGCTCCCCCATCTCCTCGTACCACCGCTCAAATCTCTCGTACACTCAAAACGTATTGTTTGGTGTATCATGGGGGAGATTTTTGTGAGATATTCTCACTATTACGGCGCGTTATTTCTCATTCGAAATCTTCCTTTCGTATTGAATTTTTCGGCGCGATGTGAGTGTGTGAATTACTCGATTCTTCTTTCTTTCTCGTGAATTCTCCATAGGGCGGGAGGAAATCGTTTTTAGTTTGTTTGGTACAAGATAAACGTCGCTCGTTTAATAAATTGCATACTCAAGTTATTGAAATTTTTCGTGTTGTGAACTTTTATTCGGTCGACGGAAAAACGATTGGCTGCAACAGAGATAATGAAGTCTTTGTAAAACTATATGAGCATCGATTCAAGTAGTTTGACAGCTTTCGATTGATTTGATAACGTGTTTCACACGACAATGAAATAGAGTTTAGCTTTGCTGAACGATAGGTTTTTGCAATCGGTTAAATTGAAATCCATGAAGCGCATGTGACCAGTGACCGGTTCGCGCATATTTCTATGCCTGATAGCTATGCTAAGCATAGCGGAGACGCAAGCCGTAACGCACCCGTCGCCATTCGATTCGAGCTATATTGTATGCGCACGGTCGTCTGCATAAACGAACATGTGCATTGTTCATATAGAGTGAACGGCGATGCGTCGGTTGCGTTTGCGGCTATGCTTGGCATATCTATGCTACCTAGCGTATTTAGGCAAACATAGAAATATGCGCGAACCGGTCACTGCATGTGACTTGCATAAAATGAACGACTACATTTCTGTGTGAGAACAAAAAAAAAACCTACCTTGACGAAAGAACTTAACACCTGATTGTCGATGTGTGATTTAACTCAGCGTATAATCGAGTCAATCTATTAATTTGGCGTGAACATTTCACGAAGTAGGAGAGAGAGTTGAAAGACTTCGGTATAAGAAATGGGGGTTACAGTGGTAAAAAAACCATTCAACACTCTCCGGAACTCACTATTTGCTTTTCGCGTCTCCGTTTCACTGGCAATTACCAATTTATCGATATTTACAATCACTTTATCACTTACAAGGTTGTTTGTTACTGTTTGCCCATTCCGTTTTTTCCTACAATTTTCCGCTTTTCATTTTATGTTCCTCTCTCATTCTCTGGTTCTTTCTCTCATTTTTTTTCTTCCTCTGTGCATTTCGATGGCACTTTTTCTGTTGAGAGCGCGCGTATTGTTGATTTACAACCATTACTCGCCCATTGGATTCATGGTTGTTTTCGAGCGCGAGCGCGTGTTATTTCTCATCGTCTTCGGCCACCCCAAATACTCGCTAAATGGGCAAAAATAAAGACAGAAATTTGTAGTCGGGTTAAAACAACAGCGAGAAGAGCAGTAACAACATATCGAAAATGCCTTACGAACAAACTGAATTGTTTGGCAGCTTGACTATTTCGCTGTATGCCAAACTGACAATGGCAACTACTTGTATTGTTGTTGCTAGCTTTAGTTCATATATTTTGTTATTTCATCTTTTTTGATTCGTAGCAACTTTTCTTTTTCTCTCTAAATTCTCCCTTCTCTGGCTATTTTCATGCCACTACTTTCTTGTCATGCTTGCCATGCTTTGTAATGTCACACAGTTCGAGAGCTTTTTTTGTGTTCGCATTTGATATTGAGAAGAAATACGCGTGCGGCTCATACTTATATGGTTGAGTTTTTATCGGGAAACAACACACCAAGTGCCGTTTCATTTCTTTCTCTCGAACGCGCAAACATAACATATACATATTTGATTTTTATGAATGGAACTTATTCGTTCGCGCTCTTTTTTTTCCTGCAAATTTTTGCTTGCACTTTTTCTGAAAACGTCGTCAATATATTGTTGCTGCTTGTTTGTTGCCCGATATAGTGTGTGTCTGTAGTTGTTTTTGCCTTTACCATTTTCTCAGTTCACATTCATTTTTATGGGTTTTTATTCATTTTTCGGGTTTATGTTTTTCCATATTTAGTTTTTTTTTCGCTTCTTTTCGGTTGCTCCAGCAGCAGCGGCGGGTGGCATACGATAAAGTGTAACCGAATTTCGCGTCAACGATTTTCATTTACTTGCTGTTCGTCGTTTTCCCCCGTAATTTGTTATTTGAGTTGTTTTCGCGCTCGATGCTCTTTCAACCCGATTTCAGTTTTTTTTTACAATTTCAAAAAAGTACACATACACTCGTACATGCATTGAATGTTTGAGCCAACACACGCAAAATTCGCAAAAAAACAACGAAAATCTAAGCGTGAAGATTTATATGCGCTGGCTTTTCTTCCTTGACTTTAACTCGCTCTCGCTCTCTACACTTTCATACTTATTTTCTTTTTATCATTTTTCCATTTCTTGTTTTCATTTCTTGTTTTCATCTTCTTTTTTTCGTCTCTCTAATTCGATTCTATGGTGGTGCTCGTTCTCGCTTTTCATTTGGCCAGCACCAGTTGGTAGTGCGTTTTTTTCGTTGCCTAGATTGTTGACGATATTCATCAAAGTGAAGTGAGTGAGCGTTTATTTGTGCTCAATTCACATCGTATGGCTCTTTTTTGTGCGTTTTTTTTTGCGTGAACACTTGACTTTGTTGGCTTCTGTTCAGGTTGTTCGCTTTGTTTTATGTAACGTAATGAAGGCGAATCCAGTGGTACAAGCACCACCACCAGCAGCGTCGCCATCACCGTCAACAGGACAACGCTCATATGGATGTGAACAAATGAATGAAAATGAAATTGAATGGAAGACAAACAGACAGTTCACCAGGCCAAAAGCTTGCCGAAATAAAACATCGACACATTTCAAAGCGAACGGGGAAATTTGCAAAAAAAAAGAAACACCAACGAAAACGAGAAATGAATTGTAGTCTGTGGCGATACAATTTGGTTAGATTTATTTTTTATTTATGAGACATTCAACTGGATGGAGCCTTCTTGTTGTGATTTCCATTTGTTTGGTGTATCATTTTGCCGATTTTGTGTGTGTATGCATGAAGCGTGTAAACGCGTGTGCGTTCAAAAAAAAAACTCAATTATTCTCACACGAAGTGAAAAATAAATGGTGCGTGGCTTCGTTTTGCGTTATATGGGCTTTTCAATCATTACAATACAATTTGTAGATCTTTTTTTGTTTTCTCTCACTTTCTCGGTCGCTTTTTCATTTTGCTCTATATAAAACATTTTTTTTTCGCTCCACTTTAATTCCACTCGATTTTTCTCAGCAATTCAGAATGTGTTCCTCCAGTTAAAATGTTCATCATAGTCATGTTGAACTAAGAGAAAATGAACGAAAAAATAAAGAATCCGTGCGAAGATCAATCGAAAAATGGCGCAAAGGTACAAAATGCCTTTAATAAATGGCAAATAGGCTTACAAAGTGGTTTTCATCATGATTTAGTCTAATTGCCAATGTCGTATGGGAAATAGTTGGTTATTTATCATGTGGTTGGTTAAGCTTCACTGGAATTTGTCATTTTTTTTGGTTTTCATTCAGATTCTTGCGCTCCCACACTGATGGAAGAAAATTGGCAAAAGAATTGAAAAGACGGAAGAAATTGAAAGGCGTTGTTCTCCTAATGCTCCAATTTCCCCAAAATGCTTTAAATATATCATTTGGTGCTATTTGCGAGTGCGTTTTTTCTCTTCCATAATTTTCTCTATATTTATCTTTTTTTATAGTGTATCTACGGCTGCTATGTGCACTCGGCCATTCTTCCAACCTTTCATCGCAGGTGCTACTGGTTGTTACAGGTATTATTGCCAACACAAATTATTTTCAAGCGTTTCTATTTATCATGGGCATAATTTACAAATTCACTGTGTCATTAATTTGCTCTTGGCTTTTTTCTGGGTCGCTTAATGAAATGGTCATCATTAGAATCCTGATATTGTTTTGGTGCATTATTTGAATGTACCGTATCCGGATGATAATAAAATGGCTGTTATAACCCCAAGTTTGGCATTGTGGGGCGATAAAAAGGAGTGGACAAAAGAGGAATTGGTTTGTCAATTGAAACCAATGTGTAAGTGATTCATTTTCATTGTGGCCGACATTTGAATACGAATATATTTGACGCATTTTTTTTTTTCCTAAAATAGTTTTTAGCGAAGATGAACCGGATGCAACGAACGAAATTGAAATTACCGTAAGTAACCGTATTCAATTCCAGTTTATACTCGAGCATTTCAATTTTTGTATGAGGAAAATTGAAAACGCTACTTTAAATAAGAGGAAACTTAAAAAATTAAATAAAAAAAAGAATCTTCGCAAAAGCAGTGAATTTTCAAGGTTTTATTTAATTTCGATGGATTTGAATGATGAATGTAATCTCTTCCATCTAATCAATACAGACGGCTGAAACGGTTGAGGCAATTGTTGCTCAATTGATGGAAAAACAACGTGCTGCACGACAAGCCGCACTCGTTAAACAATTAGAATGTGGTTGCCCAGATTCGACATGTGCCGATGGTAAATCTTGTTCACATCCAATGCGACGTTTGAGCTCTACTAAAGCAACCGCAAGTGATAAACAACGTCAAATTGAAAATAATAATAATCATGTATCGAGCACTACACCAAATGTTTTGATTGGAACAAGAGTAAGCTATTCCATTTTTTAATTTGCGAAATTGATTTTCTTTAAATGTTAAAAAAAAGAAGAAATAAATAACCATTCTCTAAACAAAAATTGTGCAGCTCTACTCACGATGGGTTGATCGTCGTGGACGCGATCAGTTAACTGAAATCACAAATCCAAATAATTCGACAACAATGCATCAGCTCACCAATAATGGTAAATCATTTAAACAAAAACAATCTGTATTACAGTGTTAAAAACTGTGTTTATTTCGTGTTTTTTGTTGTGCATAGGCAATTGTAATTCAGCAATCAAAGATATCGAATCGAATAGTTCGATTCATTTTCAAGTCATTCCACCAACTGATACATCGTCTTCGATCAATTCTTCAGCTGGTCCATCGGTAAATAATCTATCGAATAATGGTCGTCTATTGAGTAGCAGTAATTCGGCATTAACATTAACATCAACACTAACCCCATCGTCGGCCGTATCATCGCAAACATCGTCCACATCGACAACAGCTGCATCGACTGCATTGGGCAAAAGTGTGACCACTTTGAATTTTAATCAAACGGCCGATAATCAAATTGTCGCGACCACAAATAACACCAACACAAATGGCACCAACAATCCCAATCACAATAATCAAATGGACAATGGACAACAGACAAACAATTTACACCATCAACAGAGTATCGTGAATCATGGAAGAACGACAACAACCGCAGCTAATCATTTGGTTAATGCGCCAATCGTTACATCGACACCTCCTTTAGTATTGAGTTTGTCACAGGTATCGATCGAAACGGTTTTTGTCATAATCATTTAATCATTGTTTATTTAATTATGTTTAAAAATGATTATTATTTGGTATTATAGTGTTTGTAATAAAGGTGATTATTTCTCAATTAAAAAATGAATCGAATGTTTTGGTGTTTGCAGATTCAAAGTACTTCGGGCAGTTTGTTCATATTGAATGGTCAACAGCAGCAGTTTATGTGTCAATCATCAAGCCAATATGCACAGCATGAACAACAACAGCAACATCATTTACAAGGCAAAGTCAATAAAGATGATTTAGATGGTTTTCGTCAAGAGAATATGGTGACACTTTGTCCAAAACTTGAGGCAATGGACTCATCACAAACGCAATTTACTTCCAAAATTCATGCAAATAATACATATTTGAATATAAGCTATGAGCCACAATCGAATCCATCGAACATTCTAAAAGATAATTCGGCGGACGATTTGCCGCAAAATGATTCAATGGCATTCTTTAACGAAACACTTGAACTATCACAAGAAGATATTCAGAAAACATTAAGTGCCAATATGCCGATGAATGCAAATGGTAATGCTGCACGAACAGCAACAACTCTAAACGATACAACGATCCGTGAGACAACATTGCGTGCAACAGATTTCATTGATGATTGTTGTGATGAGGGCAACATCGATGTGGTACCGTCATCGGTCCATGACGATGATGTATTTGTGAATCTTGATGCATTCGATATGTTTGTTGAATTTCCCGAATTAGATTTGGATGCCAAAGCATCGTTAAGCTGTGCAACCGATAGCAATATCATCGACATGGTTAGCGATGATGTTAATGATCCAATTCATCGAATGCGACACAATTTGGAAAATGAATCGAACTCAAGACTATTGTCGGACGATGTAGATAATCATAGTGTTATTAACGATTCAAATCGACAATCGTCACAATTTACATCCGTCACCGATTCGGACACACGCGCTGATCTCTTTAATATATCCGATTTTAGTCCAGAATGGGCATATCCAGAAGGTGGCATTAAAGTGCTGGTTACTGGACCATGGAATCAAAATTCCAATTATACGGTGCTTTTTGATTCGTTTCCAGTACCAACGACCATCGTACAAAGTGGCGTACTACGTTGCTATTGTCCAGCACATGAAGTGGGCTTGGTCACATTGCAAGTGGCATGCGATGGTTATGTCATATCGAATTCATGCATTTTCGAATACAAATCACCGATGAATGCCGAAAATGGTGCCGCCTGTGATGGCACTACAAATGTATCAAGCAACGGTGATAGTTTATATAAATTTACGCTGTTTAATCGCTTGGAATCGATTGAAGAACGCATGCAAATTAAAATGGAACCATCCGATTCGGTAAGGATTGAAACGTTTTTATTGACGACCCAATTTTTATTTCACCGTTGTTTTTTTCTTTTTTTCATTTTTATTAGACTGACGAAAGCAGCACTTCCAATCGCATTGATTTTGAAGATTATTTGGTGAACTATTGCCAATCGCTTGCAACAAAACAATGGCGCAATTCGTCCGATACCATACTTTCATGGGCTAAAAGTAGTAATGTCAAAGGAATGTCATTATTACATTTGGCAGCATGCTTGGGCTATTCTCGTTTGGTAAGCACATTGCTTCTTTGGCGATCGGATAGCCCAAATGTGCTATTGGACAGTGAAATCGATGCATTGAGCCAAGATAATGAAGGGTTCACACCTTTGGTGAGAATTTAGAACATCAAATATATTATTCTTTTGCATATCCAAAAATCAATCTCAATTTAACACACTACAAAAATAAAACAGATGAGATCATGCGCTAAAGGACATTATGATACAGCAATTTTACTTTGCAAATGGAACTCGAACGCTTTGGAAATGAAAAATTATCGGAAACAAACTGCGGTGGCCGTTGCCATTGAAAATGGGTAATTTTCCTATCTTCATCGCACGTCTAGACATGAAGAAAAAAACACTTTTTTTTATTTTCAGTTTCATTGACTTGAGTGAAGAGTTAATGCAGTTTGAAACAAATCGAAAAGAATCATCGGTCTCATCATCCATTGAGCTCAATCGATCTTTTATGCATTCAATATATAAAAATGAGAAAAGCGAATTGGATGAGACGAAAAAGGGTATATATTTTGTTAAATTGACTTGTGTTATTTGTGTTTTACTAATATTCAATTTTTATTTGCTGTAGGTTTAACCGAGATCATAAATGACATTGAAAAGGGCGTGTATCTCAAAAGCCTAACACCAAACTCATTTAGTCAATCAAATGACTACCTGGAATCGACATTGTCACCAAAGTCAGTAGAATCACAAACCAGTTGTCGCAGTCATGACGGTGTCTTTCTACGTCCTGGCGAACAACAAAAGAAAAGCTTAAGGTAAACAAAGAAAAAATCATCGAAATTCTTTTACTCCATAATTTCTTTTTTTAATAAAAAAAGCTCGCCGATTTCGTTGTCTTCAAATTTGCCCACGATGACGAGTCTATTATCGCATCGTCTAATCAAGCGTACTTCCATCGACAGTGGAATCAATTTGGATTTTCCGATTCCATCGTATCGATCAACGATCTGGAGTCGATCAAGAAATCTCTCCAGTCAAGCGTCGTTGGCCTCAACTGCAAGCGGTTTTGAAACAAATGACTCATTCTTATTGTGTAAGTATGCACTAGAATAAATTCGAATCTAAATATTTTGCATTGCCATTTTTAATCGAGTTGATTATTATGCCGATATTTTGTATAATTTTTTCGGATATTTTCAAAGCATATCTTATAAATATTTTGTTTGTTTTCAATGAAAGTATCAGAGTTTAGAAAAAAAGCGAAAAAAAACTTTCTCAGTTGTTTTTTTCTTTTCAGAATACTGTAGACACTTTTTATATGACATTTTTTTAGAGCCGTTTCTTATTTGCAAATTTTATTGATGCTCAAGTTTTTATTTAACAGCATTTTTAAATGAAATGCCGTCTTTAATAGAATCAATTCAATTCAATTGAATTGCCATAATAGGCTCACATAAGATTATATGCATTCTATTCAAAGCTTTTATTTCACAATACAATCTTTTTTATAGTCGCTCTCTATTTCTCTTTTTGTTATTCATCAGCACCAATATTACATTTATTTAGCCTTTTTTTATTGCAAATCTGGAACAAAATGTTTGAATATTAAGAAAATATTTATATTTGTATCAAAATGGTCTCCATTGGGTCTCGCAAATATATGTAAACACGTGGAACCTTTGCTGAAAGCAGAGTTCGTCAGAGCTTTTATTGGCACCGGGGAAGTGTAGAAAATAGTGAGTGGACGCACTTATTCCATATCATTTATTTAGTGCCCTACCAAGAAAGAGTAGATCTAACAGGAAAGTGCCCGCACCTCCTCACACCTCCCGTAGCGAAAAGATTTTTTTTCGTGAATGGCAAGCAGAATTCACAAATTCGTACATCAATACAGTACATCAAATGAGCTTGTTACCTGGCCACAAACAGTTGCAAGGAAAATGTAAAATTCTGGGCCCAGATCAAGATTTAGACCCAATCAAGAACTTCAAATTTTCCTTGCGAATAGATTTGACCTATCAACGTGTAACTTTTAAAATAAAAGACGGTTTTTTTACACCTTTTTGTCAATTTTTAATAAATACGATATGTACAGCGATACAATTGTTTTAACAGCACGAACTATCATCTTCAGTCGCAAAGTCAAGTGCAACAGTTTAGCTTTTATTTGATTGAGTAGTATTAGTTGTTTTACATATATTTTCAAGATCCAGCGATTCAAATATTTTGAACCAAGAATATACTATGAAAAATATATTTGGGTTTTTCATAAAATTCAATCATTTTTCAGAATTTTAAATTAAAAAATTAAACTTCTTAATTCTACACAATGGTTTGTTTTCTGTACAATTTCACGTCCAAGATTTGGAACTTCTTCTGTAAAAAAACACAAATTTAATTTTCTTGTTAGTTTACATAGTGGAAAAAACAGATATGAAAAAAATATTATTGGATGAATTATTCGTAAGGTCAATTTATCCGTCTTGATCAGCTTTAGAATATTAAGCGATAAATTTGAAATGTGTCTAAACCATGTAGAATGGAATCACATTTTATTGATAAAATGATTCGATGATGAGGTAAGTTTCGCAGTCGAACTGACGAAAACATCACTTCAATATGATGAATAAATGGCAACGATAAAATTATTTTTGGTGTGAGAGAGGTAGAAAATTGACCGCAAAAACTCGTAAATCGGCATTAAGACAAGCGAATTTCGACAGCATTCAAAATTCAATTAAAAGCATAAATAAAATTATATTGAATGTGTATGTGTGTGTCTTGGTGCATTGGTTATTAAAATAGGCGATGAATCGATAACAACGAAACCACAGCAACCCTTTTCCGTAGACGATGAATCGAATCAGCATTTAGTGAACGATGATCGATCCAGCGCAGACAATGCCATTGATACGAATGTCTTCAATAACAGCGATAATAATGTTGTGATGCAAGAAATGGTCGGCGCCGTAGGTTAGTTTCAATAACTGTACAACTCATACCAATTCTTCTCCCGTACCATGTGTGTGTGTGATGCTAAGTAGACACCCAAATCGAACTTTATTCTGCTTTTCGACATATTCCGACATTTTACTATCTTAATCATTAATAAATTAAATATTTTCTTTAAAAATTATGTTAATTTTGATATTTTTATGTGTTTTTAATTTCATCGCAGTTTTTTTTCTGTTCTTTTTAATCCTTTCGGTTCATTTATGTTCTTATTTGTTATTTTTATTTAATCGAATTGATTTTTGTTATTGTTTTCATTTCAAATATTGAATGTCGTTGTTGTCATTGTTGTTGTTGTTGGTCGTCAGCAAGATTTCGCCATAATCTGTTTCGTGTATGTATTTTTCCAGTCTTTTGATGTATAAAACCACTTGTACAAAGTACAACTTGCAAATAATAATATATTCAATTCTCTCACACTGCTATTTTTCACCGATTTTCTATACATATTTATATCACAACGTATTAACACATTTTGTTGCTTTATGCATCCGAATTGCCAAATGAATTCGTTAGACATTTTATAATATTCCCGAATCATTTCGAAACATAATCAATCTTACTATTTTAACCTATTATTTGACACTTTTGAAATTGAAAGACCTTCGTAACCATGATTAACTAATTGATTAAAACTCGATATTATATTTTGTTCATATAATCTTTCGAACCATATGAATATGAATGATGAAGGGGCGTTGAATAAAGTGGCTAAACGTAATCTCGTTGAATTATGGAAAAATAAAATTGATTCGATTCAATAAGTTTGCCTTAAAATTGGTTCGAATATCAGTGTCACCGAAGAGTTTGGAATCATGTTTTAAATGGGATATTTGATAGTAAAAAGATCTTGACAAGTACATGTTCAATTTTTATCCGTTTATATAGTTTTATACCGTTGAATCGGTCAAAAATGGCAAAAATCCAATTAAATTATTGATTGAAAGTCTTTCCGAAACTATTGTAGGTGGTTCCAAACTCTCTGCTTTGGTGGAATTTTCAGCGGGAGTTTCTGACAAATATTTCTGGCACACCAAGAGTTGTTAGTTTTCGATACTGATAATAACGATAAAGCTCACACCAATAACAAAATGAAAAGTTACATAAATCGCTGATGTTAGTCGTCGTTTGAGTTTAATTACCCCTTTTTTACCAGCCAGTCATTTTCATTTGGTTATTTGCACGTTAAAAATCTCGTCGAAGCCCATATATTAAAAACAACAAAATAGGTTAATCAATAGGTTAATTTTGTTCATTTGTGTATTTAAGTGTAGAGATTAATGTCTACATGAAAAACAAAATAGCCTTGAATTGTGGTAAATCGAAAAGTGATAATGAAAACCCAAAGCACAACGATGGCAAGCAACGTTGACTGCAGCGCCATTAGAGTGGTACAATTTCTTAGTGTTTGTCATTTGGCTTGCTACAAGCAGCTTGCTTGCCTGCGTCGTCTATCGTACGGCAAACGAGCAAACATGCGGACACATATACGGCAAACGAACCATAGGTATTACACGGTTTTCGTTCGTTCAAGATGCGGTACACAGTTCCGCGAACACGTTCTATCGTGTGTATCTGTGTAGATGTATTGGTCGCACGAACGAAAACCATATAATACCTATAGTTCGTTTGCCGTATATGTGTCCGCATGTTTGCTTGTTGGCCGCATGATAGGCGACGCAGGCAAGCAAGCTGCTTGTACCAAGCCAAATGACAAACACTGCAATTTCTGATCACTTAACATAAACACAGACGACCATAGTGAATTTGCTGCGTTGTCCAGCTGTCAATATCGTTGTGCTTTGCGAAAATCTCACTTGAAACCATAAAGAATATAGGGTTTTTAATATTTGTCGTCATTTATTTTGCACTCTTTTCTTGTTCGCGCAAACGTGCGTAAACGTTTTTTCAATTTAGAATAACTGTAACCAGGTAGGAAATTCAATTCGTTGTTGTATTGGTAATAAAACCAAAAAACGAGAAGCATGGTTTAGATAGTTCAACAATTGTGCTTGTTTGAGCGGCTTTAAATAAGTTTTTATTCGTTTTATGCATGCAAAATGTGAGTAATCACGATATTCCAACCAGTATTAGTACTTGAATGAAGAAAAAAAAGAAGGACGAACAACAACAAAAAAAAGGTTCACACGATGTTTTTGTTGACGAGAAATGCAAAAGTTCGATCATAAAAACGATAACAATATATTTTAAACAATTTTCCATTGACCGCTCTTGCAAATCCATGTCGTTTTTATTGCTTGTATTTTAACTGTAGATATGTAGTGTGTTTTGTGTGTATGTATTTGTGTGCACAGTTTTAATTCGCCCAAAAATGTATTTCTATTTTGATATGAATTTCTCCATTTGCATTTTTGTACATATAAAGTTGAAAGACCTACATAGAACATAGCCGAATAAAAACTAATTTAGTTTGGAAAAACTTCTGCTTTTTTTCGTTTCCGTTGTAAATATATGCTTCAAATGCGAGAGAATTTTGTGCTGAAATCACACAAAAATATCAAATCAAAAAAAAAATGTTCGTTTATTGTTTTCTCTTTTTCGGTTGTGTGGTATAATTTGTTGTTCACATTTGGCGACAAATCGCAGGGGATTCAGATGCAAAAGTCTTAACGCTTGCCGAGCAAATTATCGCAGCAATGCCGGAACGCATAAAAAATGAATCTGATGATATAATGTCATTGGGTAGCCCATTGTCGGATACATTTAATTCGGATACATCTGGTTTGGGTGGATTGAGCGATGCATTTATGGAACCATTGCTTGATTCATTACCAAGCAGTAATTTTGATCAAGATCTTAATTTTGAATTGAATGATTATCGTTATCATGATGTGGGTACACCATGCTCAAGTTTGAGCCCGGCCAGTTCGGGCCCATTACAAAGTCCAGCCAGTTATTCGGTTGCAACGGAACCAACATCAATAACTACAGGTGCCATGAATTCACCGTCACCGCCACCAACAACCGAAGATTTTACCGAATTTTTACACGCATCCAGCAACATTTTGAAACCATTTGAAGCCGATTTTTCCAATTTAACATTGACTGATCGTGAACAACGAGAATTGTACGAAGCAGCCAAATGCATTCAGAAAGCCTATCGATCGTATAAAGGGCGTAAAAAATTGGAGGAACAAGACAAAGAGCGACGTGCTGCCATTGTCATACAAAACTATTATCGACGATACAAACAGTATGCTTATTATCGTCAAATGACAAACGCTGCGCTCATCATTCAAAACGGCTATCGATCGTATTGCGAGCACAAACGTTTCAAGAAATCCCAACCAAAAGGTGGAAGCAACGCTTTGAATACATCAGCATCAACACAAAATACACAATGCTTGCAGAATTATTACAATAAACGATGGAAACAACAACAATCCAATAATGCCAATGGCAATGGTGCAAATGCCAATATTTCCAAGGAGCCAAACACTTCCGGCCCACTCAAGTAAATATCGTTCGCTATTTTGTACAAGAACTGATACAAATTTCCATTGCTACAAATTAATCAATTTTAATTATCTTTCAGACGTACCTATTCACAACGAACACAAAATCAGGCGGCAAGGAAAATTCAACAATTCATGAGACAATCGAAAATGAAGTAAGTGAAAAACCAACAATTCTACAATTTCCCATTGTGATTTACTAACAAAAATTCTCTACTTTTTCTCTCATTTATCAAATGCATTCACATTTAACTAATACGAAAATAACATTCACAATTCAGTATTTGGGAAGATGTACGAACTTTGGTAAGATTTCGTAATCAGTTTTGGTTCGCATATTATATGTGTATTGAATCAATGTTATTGTTTCCATTTGTTATCCATTTCGGTTTCGTCTGATATCAATGATTTTCCACTAAAATGTTGACAACGATTTTTGTTTTTATTTAATTCAATTTTTAGACTACAGAAAGAACGAGCCGAAAAAGAGAGGCTGGCGCACCAACAACAGGCGGAATACCGTCAAAGCTTGCCGTTTCATCAGCAACACATGTAACTGGTACTTGTACAACGAATGTAATGCGACGAAGTGATGTAAGTGTTTGGACTTCGTTTGTCTTCAATAACAAAAAATTTGATGGCCAATGAAACTGGAATATGTTTGTTTCACTTTCAGTAAACCGTGAAATATTGATACTAAAAAAAAAATACTGACGGATTCCGAAATGATTTATAACAAAGGCTGAAGAATGATTAAAAACAACCCAAGTGATTTTACTTCTTAACAATAATCACAATGCAACTAATGTTTTTAAATTTGAAAAAAAAAATTGTAAAAACCATAGAGAAAGTTCGCCGCAAATTTTTTTTTTTTTTTAAATTGGTGCACTGTGATATTTGATCCTAGTTCACCGATCCATCGTAAGAGGTGTTCAAACAAAAAAAAAAAATTTCGAAAACCGATAAATGGCTTCCAAAATCTCAAATGGAACTGTATGTAAAGGCAAAGTGTGCTCCATGAGATCAAATCCAAAAAGAGAAAAAAACTCAAAACATAGTAAATTTGATAAATTTCAATGATGATGTTGCCGATGAGCAGCAATATCGCAAATGAAATCAAATAAAAAAACCACAAAAATCAATTTTACATCGTTTTAAAAAGAAAAAAAAAAACGTTATTTTTAACAAAAGAAATAAATTCCTATTTAGAAATCAGCCTAAAATACAAATTAAAGCAAAGTGAAACAGAACTAACCACACGAAAGTGAAAAAAGCTAAGGAGCTTAATATACACAAATTGTAAAAAAAAATTGTCATGTGTGAAAATCCGAATACAAAACGAAAAACTCAAGTTGAATTGAAAACAACAACAACCTTTTTTAGAATTTAGACATGAAATATGAACAATTTTATTTCCAACTTTTGAATGTTGTTATGTTTTTCCATTAAAATAATACATTATTCCGTAGGATATACGATTTCTTCGCTTTATTATTTTTTAGCAGTGAATATATATAAATTAAAACTATAAAATGTTAAATATACACACTCGCATATAAATAGAGCGAGAAAAGGACGGAGAGGAACGGAGAAATTGTAAATGCCACAATTTAAAACAAATAAAAGCTCTCACGGTCAGCCTGATTAGAGATTAATTCAGTTGCACAGATTTGAGTACCTATTTAATGAGAATAATGCAGTACATAAAAAGCGAATAGAAACAGTTAATGCGTACAGGCAAAAGGGAATCTAGCATTAAAAAAATCAAATTGACGGAAATAAACAAAAAAAAAAACCAAAATAAAACCACAACCATTTTTATCATCTCACGGCATAACCAATAGAATGAATCATAGTGGATTTGTAAATAAAGACAGACATTTTCAAGAATTTCTGAAACGAAAAAAAAAAAAAAAAAAAAAAAACAAATAATGAGTAACACAAAAAAATGATAAAATTAATAAAAGTGAAATTAAATAAATTAAAAACAAAAACCAACAATATTTTTCTTAAAAATATTTCCGATCGAAGAAAACAAAGAGAAACATGTTGTTAAGAAAGTATAAGATAAAAAAAAATCGTTACACAAGATACAAAAAATTAAAATTATTTACAGCGGAAGGAAAATTGAGGCACCTTTTTGAAGAAGAGTAAAAAAAATTGAAAAGGAAAGCGTAAATGATTAGGTGGTGAATTCATTTACGATATACCAGCTGTTGTCAATATATTCATTGCATTTCGATGCATTCACTCCACATACCCTTGCAACGTTTGTCATCACACATTCACTCTCACCTATAACAATATTTTATTTAGAGAATATAAACGAGAATATTTCATTCAAATTGTTAGAAAAAAATAAAAAACAGCAACGTTGTTACTAGCCATGCGATTGTTTTAAGACACACGACAAATGGAAAACACATCAACACATTCAAACAAGAATGAATCACTTATGATAATGAAAGTAAAATTGGAAACCAATCAATACTCAAATAGAATATAATATTATAAAGTAAATTTGCGCGTAGCGAGTTTTGTTTTAATGCTGAATATGAACTGACAAGGTGACTTAGAATAGCTTTTAACACTCTCAAATCAAATACTTTACCTCTACACACTCGATAATTGCGAAAAATTAACTCTCGACAGATGGGTTACATTTCGTTGTCATAAAAATGAAATTTTGGATATGGTTTGCACCCTCAACCGATATTATGTATCTATATATGGAAGATATTGCCACACGGCAAAAATCACAAGTAGCAGTGCGGCAGTAGAAAGAACTGTGTGTATGCGTCAAACTGTTTGCCGTCCGCACTCACTTCGATCGTGACTTACGGTGCCGTGCGGAAATATCTTCCATATATAGTGCACCGATATAGTATATATATCGATACTATTTAGTGCTATTTCTATATGTTATGGACACACTGCTAGGGTATCATATTCTTCTTAAATGTTCAGTGCCAATTGAACGATTCCAAAATTAGAAATTCCACAACGGCAAAACGGTTTGGGCCGTGACTTAATGTAACTATACCGTTTTGACATGGTTTTTATCCAATTAAATTCTTTACAGCGGACAGAGACAAGTTTCAGCTTGCTTAGATATACGGCCCTTAAAAATTCCGAGCATTAATACAGAGCCTGTGGCTGCTTGTGCATTCGGAAATGTTATAGCAAGCTAAAAAGAATAGGATATTCATCCGTTACGCAAACGTCATTTAACACACTGGACAACTTTTTTGTAGACTTTGAATATCCGATTTACAAATTTTGATGATGAAATTTTCATTATCCCCCCGTTCCTACCCCTGAATTTTTCAGTCTGCAGACAATCCAAGAGAGGAAATGTGTTAAGGTCAAGTAGTTAACTTTCTGCAAACATACATATAGATTTATTGTTGCGCTCTGCCAGTTGATTCGTGTGCGTTTTCTATCTCTAAAATGAAATTCCATTTTTTTCATTGTTATGAATCGGATAAATATTTATTCTTTTTTCTTTCGGTTGAATTTTCTTAAACTGATAATTTGATTCTCTTTTAACTGAAAAAACCATAATACTTTTTCAATGCGCTGTCCCAAGAAAAAACATAAACTTTTTCTTCCACTATTTCTTAAAATTCTTCAACTATATACATTTATATCGCTCATCAATGAATCGGCAAATGCGATCAAAGTGAAACTGATTCAAAAAGCTCACTACAGACGCGAACACTTTCTGATCATTTTCTGTCGCTTTTAACTCAAAACATCGAAATACCGATCTCCAAATATGTAATGGATTATAAATCACAAAGCTGTGTTAATTATAGGCAATTTAAGCAATGAATAAGCAAAAGAAAAAAGATGTTTTTTGGAAATTTTGTAGACGTAGTAACATAATAGAGAATAGTTCAAAGTAGCCAGTGGAGAGGAAACCCATACGATCAGCTCTACAACACCGACAATAGAATTTTCTAATTTTTTGTCCATTCATTCATATCTTTTTTTTGCAATTGTTAAAATGATCGATTTGGAATGAAATATGAGTGTTAATTGCATACCACATAATGCAATATACACTGTGTACACAGAGAAACAGTTCTGATATAAATAAGCAAATTGTTCAATACTAAACAAAAAAAATGTGCATATAAATTACAAACTTGTACAGTAAACTAGAGTCCGAAACATAGGTTTCTATTATAATTACTATTTTAAAAAAAATAACAAACCTCCATTTACATAACATTCACAATCTATCGATCGATTTTCTAACTAAAAAGTAAACCTGTAACCATTAATTATATCACGATTGAATTTCGTGTTGCAATCCAAAATACGTACAATTACAATGAACATTACATTTCAGCGGATTTAATTTTCATTCAATCCGCGAAACATTGTGTTTTAATTTGTATGCATTTCTCAAAATAATTGTTTTTTTTTGTTCAATCTTGATGCTCAATAAACGCAGTAAAAAAGCCATGCACCGCATGATTAAGCTCGATTTTGTATGGAGTTTTATAAAAACTGATAAGAATCGGGACAACAGCTAGATCCCACTCTTACGTTTTATAATTTGAGTTTTATTTTTCATAACAATTCATATTATCGTTTATGGTATTTAAAAATGGGACAATTTCCATTAAATAATACTTTTGAATCATGGCTTTTTATGCTTTTCCAATATTATTATAAGTTAAACTATTGTGCAATCATGTATAAATAAGATTTTATGGGCATTTTGGAGCGAATCGGCTTGAAACGAAGAATATTTTTGAAAAGGGATGAAACTTACACGCACTCAAGCCTCAGTCATGTTAGTTGAGATTGAAAATGTATTTTACCCTTTTTTCGCATTGAATTTTCAGTGTTTGTCGCGCATTCTTCCGAATATTTTGCAGCCATCCCAAAATTATGAAGCCCGGATGGTATAGGAATTTCCATATAAATTTTATCACCGAAAACACTGAGGCGCTTCTATTTTGAATTCCGAGTACTAACCGTAGTTTGTGACTACCAAAACTACGATTAGTTCACAAAAGAGGTGCTTCAGAGGTCTTGGTCATACGATCATCAGTGCAAGAAGATCCATGCTATCAATATCTAGCCATAGATATATATGTATGCGGCGACACAACACTGACATTCTGTTACTTGCGTACACTACATTGAATATCAAACCGAAACGTTTGAAGCAATAGAACAATGTATGTGTATGAATTGCTTCACAGGTTTTGAGGTGTTGTCGCATACAGATATATCCAGGCTGTTAGATATATGCACTTCAGTTATACAAACTTTGGCTTTACTTTATTTTCCTTAGCTCTTTGATTTTTCTACTAACGAACCTACCACAAAACATCTACACTCATCTTCTATAACATAATCTAATATCGTACTATTTACATATATATCTACTATTCCTATTAGCGTGAGCTGTATGAATTCAGAATGTAACAGCGTACGCATAAAAATGAACTGACCGCACTTTTTTTTTAAATTCATTTATATGCAAATAAATGCAGCACAATAATATCAATGAGCTGCTTGAATTTTGGTTTAAACCATAGCTTTTGGAGTTGGCGATCCGAGGGGGGGGGTTAATTTCAAAATTTTCCAAAAATGTAAAGGGGTAACTTTTTCGATTTGGTCTCGCACAAATTCAAAAATGCATTTTTGAATAGTCCATTCCTATTTTGTCTCAGAGCATTTGCCTCAAAAAACCCTAGCAAATTTAAAGATTTTTCTCTTCGCCCAAAAACCCTAGCAAAATTGAATATTTTCTCCCGTTTCAGAAAGTGAAGAGCAAAAAAAAGATCTTCACATTTTTCGCGAAAATCCTTAGCAAATCGAAAGAGTATTTTTCTCAAAAAAATGAAAGGGGTTAATTCCCAAATCTGTTCTCCAGGGGGTCAATCCAACCCCTCGGACCCCTGCTCAGAAGCTATTGTTCAAACTGTTCCTCATTTTTTCTGAATATCCACGTGAAGAAAAAAAAAACAATCGATTTTAAAACTAGCACAACAATATACTATACATATTCAATTGCGTCCAAATGTTGACGTGATTTGAAATTGGTTTCGACTTATACTCTACTATATTTCTAGATTATCTACCGGTCGCGAGAACTAGTCAAGAATGAAATCAACGCAAGCAACACTGCTCACAAATATGTAATACATTATATACCAAATTGTTTTCATGTAAATTTAGACGAATCCACACATTGAATCAAAATGCTGAATCAACTATTTATAATATACGTTTGAATTGTAGGTTGGTTTTTTTGAGTCGATCATTGAAACGATATTGATTGTAAATTTTTTTTTTTTGGAATTTATTACCCGAAATGATAAAAAAAAATGATGGCTTCTTTGATAACCGAGACCCGAGTTTTTCGTTTCAAATCGATTGGCACCCATAAACTATGTACGTAATAAATTTTCAGAAGTCGACTCGAAAAAAGTCATCCTATATGTATTTTGCATGAAAACAAAAGAAAAACACAAGTCAAATGAATTCAAATTTAACTACCCATCAATCGGGATATTTCGAATCACTTTTCTTTCAACATTCACATTTTCTCTTTCAAACTTTTCACACAATCCCACACATACACACCATTTTCACAGCAGAATTTCTATTGACGGAAAATGTATGGTAAAAAAAGCGAACATAAATGAAATCAAGATAAAAATGAAAGGCATAAAACGTTATAATATTGTATATATTGTTCCAAATATAAATATGTATATCCAAGAGAATAATAATGCGATAATACATATGACCGCTTGGGAATAAAACTGGATTTTCAAGAA